ACCATCAAATTGGATCTGACTGGCACAGGAGGAGATTGTCCCTCCTTCTCCAGCAGAGCATCTGGTGGATTTGAACTGCATACCTCTGTGACTGCAGTACAGCTTCTTGCCACTAGGCCACCAGAGCTTACCTAAAAAGTTAATTTTTAAAATAAAAAAGTAATGTCCCATAAAAGTGCCCAGAAGGCTAGAAGAGTAAGAAATTATCACTTGTTGTTTAAATGGGCCTCCGGCTGCCCTGCTGTATCTCAGTATCCCTTCAGAAAAAAAAACTATGAAATAGGCTCTATCCTTTTCAGGTTACAAAGTGGGGCTCCATGAGGGGTGGTGACTCCCACAAAGTTACACAGCTAAGAGGTGACAAAGCCTGGCTCAGTCCAGAGCCTCCCTCTCCTGGTCATGGACACAGTGGTGTTCGTGTCACTTTGTAGGCTTCCAGCACTTTCTCCTTTAAGGCAAGAGCCAGGTGTGACCCATGCCAGGGGGAGCCTACGATCCACCACGTGAGACATCAAATATTTGTCTTGGTTCAGGCTCCCAGTTGACGCTGCCTCAGGGATAGCTGAACTGGCACCAAGACTGTAAGGACGGAATATGTGAAAGCCCCTTCGACAACAGATCAGCGGACATAAGCCTGGAGAGCCTGGTGGTGCTGGTTCTGGAAAGGCCACAGGCTGGCACCAGCAGGCTGGCACCAGGGATCAGGTGTCCCTGCTGAGACCTTCGTGCCAGTCCAGGAGACTGTGTGACAGCCAGGAGGGGACTCCACAGTCCCCAGGCTGTTTCTGTGTTCACAAAATGAGGTTATCATCTCCTGCTTTCAGAGTCATCGTGAGGTCCAAGGAAGACTGTGCAGGCTGACGCAAAGCTTGGTGCAGACCCTGGGACACGGCCCCTGGGACAGGCTCTGGAGTGCCTGGGAGGAGCGCTCAGTTGCCAGACTGAGGAATGTTCAAGTCCACTCAGTGGTGCCTCAGAAGAAAGGATTGGTGATGTCCTGCCCAAAGTTTATAGCCACTGAACACTCTGGATCATAGTTCTATTCTGATATCTGGGTGCCATGAGTCAACTCTCCAGCAACTGGTTTGCAATAGACTGGTGCCAGCCGCCTGAGTCCCAACTGACCAGATCTGCCATGTTCAGAGTGGCCAGGAGCTGAGCCGGGAAGTAAGGCTTGAATATTTCTCAGCCAGATGTCATTTCTAGACACAATCCTGGTTGTCACGACATGGAAGTCCTAGTGGGCACAGGCCTGGGACAACGTGAGCCCTACACAACAACGCTTTATGGCAAAGAACCATCTGCCCCAAATGCCCATGCGTCCAGGTTCCCCAAACTCCCAGCCTCCCTCGTCTCAGGAGGAAGTCTGTAATCAAGCCATGTCCAGGAGGCTCAGGATCAAGTCTGACGGGACCCTGGGAAGCCTCTGCTTCCTGACAGAGGGGACAGGCATGACCGCCCTCCTTCTTCCTCTCATGAATGTGACCAGGAGCTGCCTCCCCATGCGGGGCATCAGCCAGAGGAAGACCACTACTGGCTGCCCCGATTTCAGCATCTGGCTTCTTATTACTGAAAAAAATTCATGTTTGCTTAAGTCATTCAGATCAAGTTTTTCTAACTGGTAGACAAATGCAATGTTAATGAGTCCACTCATTACTAGTAAAAATTAACATGAAGTTTGCATCCTCTCAGTTCTTAAGTAGGAAAAATCTCTCACAATGTCACACACACCCACAGCCCTGCCTGACTGGCCCATTTCCTACTAGGATCCTGGGGCCCTGCCCTTGGTATCCAGGCTGGCCTCGAACCCTGAGTGTTCCAGGGCCCCATAGTTTGTTGTGGGATAGGAAGGGTCTCTGGCCAGGACAGATCCCCTAAGCTCCAGATAAGTGCAAGCCTCCCAATGGCCTTTAATATGGGGTAAAGTTCCCCTGTGTTTGGCTGTACCAGCTTGAGAAAGCTCACCACCTGGGAAGACAGCTGCCCCATCTGTTGATCTGGAAGTGGTCCACACGTGGCTGGGGTTCTCCTAACCAATCAGCATGTCCCACGTCTGTAAGCCCACCCTATCTAGTCTTCCTGTGTATATAAGTGCAGTGCTTATCCCAATAAAATCAAGCTGGACTGACTCTCTGATCCTCTCCTGGAGTGGTGTATCTCCGTCGTGCTTACTCCCATCAGGGTGTCGCTGTCAAGTTGCCGATGAACTGACAGCGACAACAGTTCCCTCTGCAGGAGTCCTCCCCAGGGCTCTCAGCCACATACCTCGGATCTCAGTATCATCTGTCCATCCGACCAGCTCTCCAGCCCTCTCCCAGTATTCCTAGTAGAAAACATCTTTTTTTCTTGACCTCCTATTTCTTCTCTCTCCCTCCCTCATGTGTTCCTTCCCTCCTTCCCCATTGGCTGCAGGCTACACAGACGTTGACAAGGACCCAGCTGTCCATCTTCAGCATCCCCAGTGTCTTCTCTGACACTGTGTCCACTCAGATGCCTGCAGGCACGTGGCAGATGCTCGGACTCTCAGGGAAGGGAGGAGAAGCCAGCCCCACTGCATTCCACAGAATTTATTCAATCCCTTTTCAACATCAGATCATCCTTAAAATCAGTTATTTTTAAAAAAACCTAAAAATTCTTCCTTAATAAACAACATACCTGTAAATTACAACCTTTATAGATTATGCAAATAAATCAAGTCTTTTGGAAACAAGTTCTGGACAACCCCTGGCAGGTTTTGTGCACAAACTTGTCATGGGACTCTGTTCAGAAAGCACGCAGGTTAATAGGGGCCAGTAGGGCAGGCCGTACATGGTGGCTTCGAGGGTGGTGAGGCAGCAAGGTAGGCCCTGATCAATAGGGCAAGCCCTGGTCAGGAGGGCAGGCCCCGGTCAGTAGGGCAGGCGCTGGTCAGTAGGGCAGGCCCCGCATGGCGGCTACAGCGGCAGTGAGTCTGCGGGGCAGGCCCCTGGCGGCCTGTCTGTAGTCCTCAGGCTTGGTCTTCAAGAGCGTTACAATGTTCTGAAGCAGGCGGGACGGCTGCAGGCCCAGGGCGTCCATTACATTGGTCAGATAGTCTGAGGATGTGGAGCAAAGAAAGGGACTCAGTGGTTGAGGGGACACAGAGAAGCCCTCCGCCCCTAGTGCTGGGTGTCACAGTGCCCTCAGCAGGTGGACAGCACTCACAGGGTTTTTCACATAAAGTCAAGTCTGCTAGTGAGCTTGGCCTTGGCTCAGGAATTTCAATTGGTGAGCTGTGGGAGGATATCAAGAATATTTTCCATGAAAAATGCAAAAGGTCATTACAAAGACAAAGGAGAAAGAAAATACCAATATGGATGTTGGAAGAGACTCTCAATAGTGCACTAGAGCACTGAGAAGCCAAAGCAAAAGGAAGAAATCAAGATGTTAAGGAGCTGAACAAAAGATTTCAAAGGGCAGCTCAGAAAGACAAAGCAAAGTTTATAATAAAATGTCTAAAGAGCTAGAAAATCAAAAGGGTCGCACTCTCTCAGCATTTCTGAAACTGAAGAACAAATTCAAGGACTGCATTGCAATACTTAAGGGCGCTATGGGCAGAATACTGAATGAATGATCCAGGAAGTATCAAAAGAAGATGGAAGGAATAAAGAGTCACTGTATCAAAAAGAATTGGCCAACAAGGAAGTATTTCATGAAAAAACTTATGTTCAAGATGCAACGGTGATGAAGCTGCTCTGAAGGAATTGGCAAAAAACAAGGCCTTGGGAATTGATGGAATACCAACTGACACATTTCAACACACTGCCCTGGATGTGTTTTTCAGGTTGTGCCAAGAATATGGAAAGTAACTACCTGGCCACCTAGGTCTAGGAAGAGATCCCAATAAATTCTCATTCAAAAAAAAAAAAAGGTGATCCAACGGAGTGTGGAAATTATAGGGCAATGACTAATATACCACATGCAAGCAAAATCCTGCTGAAGATTATCCAAAAGCAACTGGAACAGTACATTGACAGAAAACTACGAGAAACAGAAGCTGAGTTTAGAAGAGGCCATGGCACCAGTGACACCACTGCCAATGTCAGATGGATCTTGGCTGAAAGCGGAGAGATTACTAGAAGAATAAGTATCTATGTTTCATTGACTATGCAAAGGCATCTGACTGCATGGATCACAACAAATGGTGGCTAACTTTGAGAAGAATGGGAATCCCAGAACACCTGATTTGCTCATGTGAAACTTATACTTGGACCAGGAGGCAATCGGCAGAACAGAGCAAGGAAACACTACATGGTTCAAAATCAGAAAAGGGGTGTGTCAGGGATGTATCCTGTCTCTGTACCTCTTCAATCTTTATGCAGAACAGATCATTTGAGAGGCTGTACTTTCTGAGGAAGAATGTGGCATCAGGATTAAAGGAAGACTCACCAACAACTTGCATTATGCAGATGACACAATATTACTTGCTGAAGCTGAGGAGGACCTGAAGCATCTGCTGTAGAGGGTCAAACACTGTAGGCTGCAATATGGATTAGAGCTCAACATCAAGAAAACAAAGATTCTCACCACTGGGCCAACTGAGAACATCATGATAGATGGAAAAGAGATTGAGATTGTTAAGAATTTCGGCTTGCTCGGTTCCATAATCAACATTCTTGGCACCAGCAGTCAGGAAATCAGAGGACAAACTGCATTAGGGAAATAAATGTACTGGCAGAGACTCCTCCAGAGTGCTGAAGAACCATGATGTCAGTTTAGAGACTAAGGTGCATCTGATTCAGGCCATGGTCTTCACAGTTACTTGCTGTGCATCAGAGAGCTTGACAATGACAAAGAATAACAGACGAAGAATTGATGCCTTTGAGTTATGGTGCTGGAGAAGAGTTTTGAACATACCATGGACTGTCAAGAGAACTAACAGGTCCGTCTAGGAGAGGGTAAAACCAAATACTGGAGACAAGGATTCTGAGACTCCATCTCACATACTTTGAGCATGCAGCCAGGAGAGACCAGTCCTCAGAGAAGGACATCATGCTTGGAAGGGTCGAGGGACAGCAGAGAAGAGGCAGACCCCGTATGAGATCTGACACAATAACTGGGGTTATGAGGGTAGGTGTGTCAGAGAACATGCTGTTGGCTCAGGACAGAGCAGGGTTCAGAGCCATTGTACACAGGGTCACTGTGAGTCGAAGGCGATCCAAGGCACATAACCACAATGACAAAGCTACCTACCCAGCATCGCTCCTCAGGCCCACTGATACATGTGCACCCATACGCACACCCAAGAATACACACACGCAAAACACACATGCGTATACATGCACATATACACAGCTGCTCATGTGCGTGCACGCACTGTTCCAAGGAAGCAGGCTGGTTGCTGCTGTCGTTGTGTTGAATACAACTCGTAGCAATCCTAAGAACAAGAGACCTGAACCCTGTCCTACCCTGTGCCATCCTCATCATCTCGGACACACCTGAGCTCATTGCTGCAGTCACTGTGTCAAGTCACCTCATTGAGGGTCTTCCTGTCCTTTGCTGACCCTCCACCTTTCCAAGCATGACGCCGTTTTCCAACAACATGCACAAAGTATGAAGTGAAGCTTCACCACCCTTGCCTCTAGTGAACACCCTGGCTGCACTTTCTACTACCTGTTAAAGCATTCAGCTGCAAGGTCCACCCAGAGGCACCGTGGAAGGAAGGTCTGGAGCTCTACTTCAGCCATGGAAGCCCTACTGCTCAGTGCTCTACTCTGACAAACACGGGGTTGAAGAATTGGGATCCGCTTCCTGGGGAAGGGGCTGAGTGAGGCAACGGAAGTGTGGCCCCACCCAGGGAACCTACCGATGTCAGTGGTCAGCTGCTTGGTGGAATGTGGGGTCAGCTCGGGGATCTGGAGGATCACGTCACAGTAGGTCTGCATCGTGGCTCGGGCGATGGAGCCCAGCCAGTTGTCCGCCATGTTGTCCAGCTCGGGCAACTCGTCACCTGGAAGAGCAAAGGAGGAGGTCGCGAGAAAAACACAGAACCTGTCTGGGAGAAGTCCAGCAACACAGTTCTTGCTGAGCCCTCTGGGTGGCCTGGCCCGTGACAGAGAGCTTAGCACCGGGACAGGAGATCTAGAAGGCGAGGGGACAACTGAATCTTAGGTCACCTGCTAGTGACAAAGCATAATGAGGATTCAGAACAGGAAGCAACCAGAAAGCTGAAGAACCAAAGAGTCCCCAAAGGCCTGGAGTCCGCAGGGTGGAGGTGACCACAGCCGGTCCCTGCAGGGCTGCTGAGGGTGTGAAGTGGAGTGCACACATGCAGCCTTCAGCACAGGGCCTGACGCGTGCTGAGGGCTTGATATGTGGCAGCCGTCAGCACTGTAATTTTGAAGGAGGATACAGCGGACACCAGCGTTAGGAGGATAGCGCCAGACCACAGGGATGTCTGAGAACCACGTGGAGATCAAATCATAGCAGACAGGCAGCCACAGAGGTTCCCAGTAAGGCTGAGAGCATGCATGACCCCAGTGAGGAGTCAGTCAGGCTGAGAGGGGAGGCAGGTCAGCCACCCAGCAACAGAGGGCACCGCCTGGCCTTCCAGGCTAAGGAGGGCACCTGTGAGCAGATATGCACAGCAGAATGTTAAAAAATGTTAAAAAAACCAAGGGAGCTCTGGTGGTGCTGCCTAGTGGCAAGAAGCTGCACTGCAATCCCAGAGGTATCCAGATCGAATCCACCGGAGGCTCTGCTGGAGAAGGAGGGGCAATCTCCTCCTGTACCTGTCAAATCTGATTTGACAGGACACACACAAAAAATAATAAAAAAAGGAAAAAAATTAATATTAAATAACAGTACAGATGAAGCAGTGAGAAAGAACACATTTAGTAGATCAGCAAAATAATACTCGTTGTTTTTATGCACCATTGAGTGGGAACCAACTCACAGCTCACCCTCCAAGTGGGTTTTCAGAGACTATAAATCACAAAAGAGGAGACTCACTCATCTTTCTCCCACAGAGCAACTGGTAGATTTGAACCATGTGCCTTCAGGTTGGCAGATCAGCTCTTTATCACTAGGCCATCAGAGCCCCCTGAAGAAAATACTAGGAACCTATTTTTACATAAATAGCATGCATGTCATAAATTTTTGGCCAACCACCTCCACCCTCTCCCTGGTTGTTTTTTGTTTTGTTTTTTTCCCCCTGGTTGTTTTTAAAAGCATGCTATGTTAAGTTTTGTGTATGTTGCTGTTAGGTGTCACTGATTTTTTGTTTGTTTGCAAATTACTCTTTGGTAATTTTCACACTCTGCTGGATCACCTTTTTGTGGAATGGGAATAAATATGGATCTCTTCCAGTCAGCAGGCAGGCAGTTGTCCTCCAGATTTCTTGGCACAACTTGATGAGCACGTTCCAAGTCAACATGGTCATCCAAGTTTGTTGAAATACGTCAGTTGGTATTTCATCAATTCTTGGGGCCTTGTTTTTTGCCAAGTCCTGCAGAGCAGGCTGCACTTCCTCCTTCATCACCATTGCCTCTTGATCATATGTTGTTTCATGAAATTCTTCTGTGTCAGCCAATTCTTCCTGGTACAGTGACTCTGTGTACTCCTTCCATCTTCTTTTGTTGCTTCCTGGATCACTCAATATTCTACCCATGGCATCCTTAAGTACTGCACCTAGAGGCTTGAATTTGTTCTTCAGTTTCTTCAGCTTAAGAAATGTCAAGCAAGTTCAGCCCTTTTGATTTTCTGATTCTATCCTTACACATTTCATTATAATACTTTGTCTTTCTGAGCTGCCCTTTGAAATCTGTTCAGCTCCTTATCTTCTTGATTTCTACCCTTTGCTTTGGCTTCTCAGTGCTCTAGTGTAATATCTGGAGTCTCTCCTGACATCATCTTAGTCTATTCTTCTTTCTCGTCTTTGTAATGATATTTCACATTCTTTGTGTATGATATTCTTGATATCTTCCCACAGCTCATCTGGTCTTCATGCGTTAGTGTCCAAGGCCTTAAACCTGTTCCTGAGATGGTGTTTAAATTCAGATAGGATAGACTAAAGGTCAAATTTTAGTTCCTGTGTATGTTTTCTGGTGGTCTAGTGGTAAGAAGTTGTACTCCAATCCTGAAGGCACACAGTTCAAATTCACCAACTGCTCGGTAGGAGAAAGATGGGAAATCTCTTATGCAATTATGAAAACTGCTGGAGGGTCAGCCAGACTCAATGGTACTCAACATTGAAAACCTAGAAGAAACAGATTTACAGCAACTTAAACCAACTGACTATGGTAGAATATAGAACAGACTCATCACAAAATAAGAAATTGAAAAAGTTTTTGATGCACACATGGATTTAATCTTTAGAAGGTCCCATGCATCAATTTTATACTCTTCAGATTGTGCCTTTCTGGTTGTATCTGGCAGTCTCTTTGCACCTTGGACTAGCGCTTCTAAGCTTGATCCCAGTTTGTCTCTTATGAATGTTATGGTTTGGAGCTTTACTCCTAAGTCTCTGATCCACCTTGAGTTGATTTTTGTATATGGTATGAGATGGGGATCCCGTTTAAGCTTTCTGCAGGTGGAAGTCCAGTTTTGCCAGCACCATTTGTTGCAGAGGTTGTCATTTCCCCTTTGATAGTTTTTATTTCCTTGTCAAATATCAATTAACCATAGACAGCTGGGTCTATTTCTGGGTTCTCAAGTCTGTTCCATTGGTCTATGTGCCTGTCATTGTACCAGTACCATGCTGTTTTAGTTACTACTGCTATGGAGGCCGGTTTAAGGAAGAAGCCTCATTCCTGCTGAAGGGGATTAGACGGTAGCACACCAGGAAGGCTGGATAGAATGGATCAGAGCATAAGCACTTAGACCTGAGAGCTGTTAGACAGAAATGCAAGTGGATGTCATAAACATGGGCTAAGACGAGCAAGGGACTGAAGAGACACCCTAGGCTAAAGGGGAGGCAACAGGACAGACACTTGTCCAAATCACAGAAGCAGCAAGGGCCCGAGACCAACTTCCGGTGGATGCCAGGACCTGCTGTGCCTGGTACAGCTCTGGGAGCTGGGGATGGGTGAGCACCACCCTTAATGCCTTCTCAGGCCAAAGGAGAAAGTGAACCACTGCAGGCCAGGGTGCGTGTGAACCACTGCAGGCCAGGGTGCGTGTGAACCACTGCAGGCCAGGGTGCGTGTGAAGCCACTGCAGGCCAGGGTGCGTGTGAGGACGAGCTAGTGCACAGCACTGGGAACAAACCCCTTTGCTTTACATGCTGAGGAAGGGCAGGGATGATGGGGTATCTGCCAGATCCACATGGGGAGGGCTCTCCAAGCCCAGACCTCAAACACTATTTTCTTTTTTCCTCATAAGAGAAGCATCTATGACGTGTGATGGTCCCATTTATGAAAACATATGTGCATATGTGGCTCTAGCTTTGGCTGCACGGTTTCTCAAGCAGTGTAATAAGGTTCCCTCCATGGCTGTCAAAGTTCAGTTGAGTCACAAGCTTCACAGGCTCACACATACACCGTCAATTTGGTAGGCTATAAAATGGAATGTTCTCATTTTCATTTGCAACGCTGTCAGAACCGTGTCCTGCAGAAGCTCCTCAGAGGGTGCACTAGGGAAGCCTCAACTGTTCTTTGTCTTTGTTTTAGGATTTGACAGTTATTAGAGTTATCTGGTGGTTTAGCAGTAAGGAACTGTGCTGCCAAAGCAAAGGTGCATGGTTTGAATCCACCAGATGCTCCATGCTAGAAGGATGGGCAATCTCTCCTCCGATGCAGTTCATTAACTGCCTCTGAAAACCTGCTGGAGGGTCAGCTTTGGGTCGGTTCCAACTCGATGGTACACAACAAGAAGTGTGTGTGTGTGTGTGTGTGTGGTGTGTACGTGTGTGTGTCCGCACGCGTGTGCGCACACACACACACAGTGAGGGGTGAAGTGCTAAATCCAAGCTCACACAACACAACTACCTTGCTCAGGAGGAAACGGGAGCTTTCCAGCATGCAGAGCCAATTCCAAGGCAGAGTCCTCCTGAGTCACAAAGGGCTCAAGATTCAAGGGGAGCGACATAATGTACTGTCCAATCTGAAACAGAAGAAAGTACTTTCAGCCTGACATTGGCACACACAGACAGTTACACTTCACGCAGCTCATCATGTGACGGCAAATGGTTGAAACGCAAAATTGTGAGCCCAGGGGCAAGACCAAAGAGCATTTCCTCATCTTCCCAGTGTATGGTAATACCGACTATGTCAACAAATGCAGGGGCGGGGGTAGGTGGGAATCAATGGTAGTTTGCATGTATAGATCCATCCTTCTCATTAACATTCTCATCATTCTTAGAACTTATTTGGTAAACTCTGTTTCAAATGATGCAATAAATACCAAATAAACTTGCAAAATGCAAAGCACCATGTAGATAAAAGTTATGAGATGTCAATGGCAAAAGCCGTAAGGCTAAGCAGAATCATAATCCTGCTTTCTCAACCGGGATCTAGTCTGTCCTCTCTCTTCTAGGTGATTCAGGCAGGGGAGGGAAGGGATTTTGGTTTTAGATTGAGAAATTGTGAATACATTCACACAGTGGAATACTATACAGCACTCAGAAACAATGATTTTTGAAAAATGCTGGATAACTTCGGAGAGACTGGAGAGCATTATGCTGAGTGAACTAACTCAGTCTTATAAGAACAGATACCGTATAAGATCAAAATTGTAAAAACAGAAGGATAACTAGTAAAATAGGTATGGAACCAAGGGGAAAAGGGTTGGGAGTGGAGGAGGGAGGGTGGGTAGAGGTGAAACCACAGAATTGCACGGTTTGATGGATAGAGGAAGGGGGCAAATGAGATGGGAAAGATCCAGTGGGGACCTTAAAAGACAGTGTAATGGTGGGCATAGACCAAAGGTGATTCATTTTATAAAACACAATGAGGAAAAAAACACACAAAACACAATGAGAAGGAGCGATTGTATGAAACATAATGTGAATGAAGAACGTGTGAAACACAATGTATACAAACTTTGTAAACAAACCAGCATAAAATATTTTAAAAAATAATTTTATTAATTAATCTGGGAGGAAAGTGTTACTGTTTCCATAATACAAACTCTAGAAAACCTTATTGGGTGCTGGGAATCTCAGAAGGTGAGTAGAACCTTTCAATTAATAAGTTCCCTATGCTCCTGTCAGTCAGCAGTGATTTTTACATCACATGTATGTTTTACACACCTATTTTGATTATAATTTATAATTGCTTTTTGTCTTTAAGTATATGTTTCAATTTAAAATAAGGCTTGTTTTTCAAGTGACAGCAACAGACGCTAAAAAGTGATGTCTGTATCTCTTATTGCTTTTCTTTGGGACAGTCATTCCAATCCATCTGTCCCGAATTAGAGCTGATATCAATTCAGAGTCACTACCAGGAGAAGGCCTTCTCCACAGCCTCACACCCCGCTGAGTAGTAGCAGGCATTAGTGGCCGGATGTCACTGCTGTTGTCACCAAGCTGACTCTGACGCATGGCCAGTCCCGGTGCAGCACAAGGAGCCTGGTCCAGCCCCATCTTCAAAACTGCTGCCATACATTATTCACCATCACAAGAACCTGGAAACAGCCCAGATGCGTGACCACAATGAAATGAATTGAAAAATCAAGGTACATCCACACAACAGAATCCTATGTAGCACATGGGAGCAGTGATTTTGTAAATTACTACCTAACACGGGAGGGTGTGGAGAGCATTGTGCTGAGTGAACTAACTCAGTCCCATAAAGACAAATACTGTATAAGACCATTATCGTGGAATGACTGTGAGGATCCAAGGAGCGGGGGTCCTTAATCAAAGGGTCACACAATTTGATGGGTGGCAGGAGGGGTGGGTAAAGGAAAGAGGAAAGATCCAATGTGAAAAACAATGTATACAAACTTTATATGTAAGTTTGTACATAAACCAGTATAAAACAAAAATATGGAACAGAAAACCTGCTGTCATGTTTGAGTCCCCTGCTGAAGCCCCTGTCTGTTTCAAGCGCCTCTCTCCTAGGTGGGGGCCTTCCGATGCTCTCATCCGACAGCGCTCTCTTGTGACCACAGGGTTCTCATCTGGGGCTGGTTTCTGTCTATCTTAACCAGAAGCTCCGTGGAAACCTTTCCACCCTGACTGACCGTGCTGGGATTTGGAATTTCATTGCCACAGCTGCCAGCACCACACAACACACTAGCCAGCATAGAACAACAAGCTCAGAGCGGGTGGCGGACTGAGACACAGGGGTCTTGAAAAAGCAGCAAGGAGCTTACAGAGGCTGAAGCACGGCCAGGGCCAGGGCCACGGTCACTGCGGCTAACCGCTGTAAGTCACCATCACCCTATAAGAACAAAAGGCGTCTACCAATTTTGCCTCTTCCTCTCTTTTCAGAAGCTGAAAATGTTGACACTTTCTTAAAGACAGGCTCGTATATATGTCAACGGACAAGGTTCTGTTTTTACTGGAAAATGCTAAGCAGTGACAACTGACATACATTAGTTTAACACATAAGTCAACCAGCAGCTTTGTTTTTCAGTAGAGGAAATGTCTATCCCTCTATATATTCACAGTTCTCTGGTGGTCAGTCCCCTGGACTGGGTAACCAGGATCCCATGGCCCCTCACAACGTGCCTGCCTTGTGAGCACAGGGTCAGGCCGTGCCCAAGCCTCTGGCATGAATGAGCTGAACCGGGAGAAAGTGCACAGTGAGTGTGCTGAGAATACCCAGCAAGGCTGGTCCCAGCTCAGCTTTCTGGCGAGGATCCAACAAAAAAGCATCAACTTGAAGGCTGGACCTCCAATACTATCCTCACCATGACAGCCATGTGATCAGGGAGCAGAGTGGCAAGTGCATCCAACATCCTCCAGCTTGAAGAAGAATAGGAGACTGTGAGCTTTTGCTCCTAACATGCTCCATCCATCTGTGACTTAGAAGCTTTAAGACACATCTAACTATTCTACTTCAGAACATTCCAGAGAAGAATGTTTCCAACTCCCCATGCCTTTGTTCTCTTGTCTAATATACAGAGTTGTTTGAAAGATCACCTTTTGTACAGTTCTACAACAGTGCCAGGCAGTTAAGTGATATATTAGCCATCAATATCACAGGGAGCTCCGGTAGCTCAGGGGTAAGGAATCGCACTGGCAATGCAAAGGTATGCGGTTTGAATCCACCAGCTGCTCCGTTGGGAGAAGGATGGGCAATTGCCTCCCATGAGATTTACTGCCTCTGAAAACCCACTGGTGGGTCAGCAAGAGTCTGTTCTGACTGGATGGCACACAACGACCACTTGCAATGAAGTACCTGTCCCCTTGCTTTCTTACTGTGCGGTTCTTCCTGGGCCTTGACGCTCTCTTCCTCACTTTCTTCTGCCACTGCCAAACCCCTCATAACAAGTGTGGAGCCCACAAGGCAACATGCACCACAAGACTGACCCAGCCCAAAAGACCACAGGGGACTAGATCCCCTTTTCACATGCTGAAGATAGTTCGGCCACAGTCAAACATTCTTGTGGTCCAACCTGGTGATTAAAAAACCCATTAGCGTTAGTAACTGAGACCAAGCGGTTGGGGGCACCTGTAGTCGAATGAGCCCCTCTTGAGAAGAAAGCTTGGCAACTTTGGAGGCGGCGATTGTCATGACGGCCCAAGGAGGCCTGGTGGCCAACAGAGGCCGGCGCTTCAAGTGGGCCATTGAGTTGAGCGGACCCGGAGGAGGCAGCAGGGGCCAAAGTGACAGGGGAAGTGGCCAGGGAGACTCGCTATACCCAGTGGGTTACTTGGACAAACAAGTGCCTGATACTAGCGTACAAGAGACAGACCGGATCCTAGTAGAGAAGCACTGCTGAGATATCGCCTTGGGTCCCCTTAAACAAATTCCCATGAATCTCTTCATCATGTACATGGCTGGCAATACCATCTCCATCTTTCCTACTATGATAGTGTGTATGATGGCCTGGTGACCTATTCAGGCACTTATGGCCATTTCAGCTACTTTCAAGATGCTGGAAAGTTCAAGCCAGAAGTTTCTTCAGGGTTTGGTTTATCTCATTGGGAATCTCATGGGCTTGGCGTTAGCTGTTTACAAGTGCCAGTCCATGGGACTGCTGCCTACACATGCATAAGATTGGTTAGCCTTCATTGAGCCCCCTGACAGAATGGAGTTCAGTGGTGGGGGACTGACTGCTTTTGTGAGCCTGAAAAAGACACTCCTGGCACCGTAAGAATTTGGATCTCATTTACAACTTTTTTTAGACCCAATTGTTCTGCCTCACCTTAAAAATTTTCCTTGCTGAAAAGGGCCAAACCATGCTCTTTTTTTCCCCATGATTAGGAGATAAACCCTGGATGGACAAACTACTACAAACACAAAAGAAACTACACCTCAAGCCCTGGTTGAAAATAATGTAGAAAACTTTATTTATGTTTCCAGTACAGAGCAAAACAACAAATAAATCTCTGTAAACAACAACAACAAAAAAAACCAAAAACCACTAGCTTTTGCTCCCAGAGGTAGACAGGCGGTAAAAGAAGTTACTGCATTCTGCTTTTATTCCTTTATTCGGTAAAAGCTTTCACTCACACGAGGCAGGCAGTGGATTCCGACTCCTGATGACCCCAGGTGTGCTGGAGTAGAACCTCGTTCTCCAGGCGTCTTTTATTTACATAGTTCATTTTTGTTGCTGTTTTTGAGAGTATACACCAATTCAACAACTTCTGCACACTGATGACATTCTTTGAGTTGTACAAACATCTTCCTGCTCCTTTTCTGCATTGTTCCTCCCTCACTAACACAAACTTCTTGTCCTCTAAGTATCGTTTTGATCCCTTATGGTGCTGTTGTCTGCTCCCTGACAGCTCTTGTTTGCAAGAGCACAGGATTCAGGGGAGATAGTTCTTTACTAATTATGTGAAAGTACTGTTTGGTTTTCATAAACCTTGAGGAGATATTTTTGGCTTAAGGTTTAAAGGTGATCTCAGGACCATACTTTCAGAAGTTCATCCAGCCTCCAAGGTTTCAGACAGACCAGCACCAATGAGGATTTGAAATTCTTTTCTGCATTTCCCCCGTTTTGATCTTCTATCTGTGTTTCGTTGATTATGCAAAGACGTTCGACTGTGTGGATCATAACAAACTGTGGCTGACTCTGAGAAGAATGGGAATCCCAGAACACTTGATTGTGCTAATGCAAAAACCTATAGTTAGACCAAGAGGCAGTCGTCAGAACAGTGCAGGGTAACACCACATGGTTCAAAATTGGGAAGGGTGTACGCCAGGGATGTATCCTATCTCCATACCTTTTCAACTTGTATTCAGAAAAGATTATCCAAGAGGCTGGGCTCTATAAGGAGAAGTGTGGTGTCAGGATTGTTGGAAGATTCATCAACAATCTGCGTTATGCAGATGACACAACCCTGCTTGCTGAAACTGAGGAGGACCTGATGCACTTGCTGCAGAGGGTCAAGGACTGCAATCTTCAATATGGATTGAGGCTCAGTGTCAAGAAGACAAAGATTCTCACCACTGGACCAATTGGCAGCATCAGCATGGATGGTGAAGAGATTGAGATTGTTCACAGCTTTAGTTTGTTTGGCACCAGAGTCAATACTCTCGGCACCAGCAGCCAGGAAATTAAAAGACGTATTGTGATGGGATAGTCTGCTGTTAGGGACCTCTCCAAAGTACTGAAGAGCAATGGTGTCTTTCTGGAGACTAAGGTGCGTCTGATACAGGCCATGGTCTTTGCTATCACTTGTTATGCATCAGAGAGTTGGACAATGACTAAGGAGGATAGGAGAATTGATGCCTTTGAGCTATGGTGCTGGAGAAGAGTATTGAGGGTACCATGAACTGCTAGGAAAACAAACAGATTCATCCTGGAAAGGGTTAAACCAGGCAGCTCCTTGGAGGCAAGGATTCTGAGGCTCCGTCTAACATACTTTGGACATGTTGTAAGGAGGGACTGGTCCTTGGAGAGGGACATCATGCTTGGGAGGGTGGAGGGACCAGTGCAGGAGGGGAAGACCCTCTATGAGGTGGATTGATTCAGTGACTGGGGTAATCGGCATGGGTGTATTGGAGACAGTGTGACTGGCACAGGACAGAGCAGAGTTTAGGGCTATTGTACACAGGGTTGCAATGAGTCACAAGTGACTCGACGGCATATAACAACAATATTATCCTAAGAATTCTTCGATGGCCTCTTTGGTGAAGGTGTTCTGTAATGTAACAGGCATCTGGTTCTTCTGATCTCCTGACCAATCAAGCAGCTGTTTAATTTGTCATACATTCCACACCCTCCTATCCCTGACTGTCCTTCCTCTGTTAATCCATGTGAACAGAGGCCATTAATAACTGATTTTTCAGAAATAGCCTACAATCTATCTCACCACTAACCACTAACAACCACTCTACATTTGCTCAAAGAGAGTAACACGTTAATCATTTTCCCTCCTGGATGCCGGAAGAGATACATGGTAATTTCTAGGACGGCAATTCTTCCATTTCAATTCCATTTAGCAATCACTTCTGAACACATACAAGGACACTGAGACCTTATGCGTCTGTATTCCTTGTATTTTTACACCTTTCACTGGCAACCATAACCTCTCAACTAAACCCATGGACTCAGTTTTACTTTGATAAACAATTATCATTATTATACCCCGCACAAAGGGCTTTCTTTCCCCCCTCCCCGTCATTGGTTTATTTACTAAGTTCATAAACATTATTCTGCACACCGGATCCTTCCCATTTCTTTCACACACACCCTCCACCCATCAAATTGTGCGATCCTATGATTAACCACCACCACCATCACCCCCCACCCACCCTTCCTCAGCTCTTTCCCTCCCATCTTGGATCCTCATACTCATTCTACAATAATGGTCTTATACAATATTTGTCCTTGTGGGACTGAGTTAGTTCACTTAGCATAATGCTCTAAAGTCCTTCCCAGGTTAGGAAGTAATTTATTAAATCACGGCTCCTGCATGCTGTGTAGTATTCCATCATGCATACCATAATTTCCCAATGTATTCAATTGTGGTTGGACAACTGGGCTGTTTTCATGTTCTTGTGATGGTGTATAATGCTGCTATGAACATTAGTGTACAAGTCTCCATTTGTGTCTCAGTTTTCATTCTCTTGAGGTATATTCCAAGCAGTGGAATAGCTGGGTCACATGGAATTTCTATGTTCAGCTTTTTGAAGACGTGCCAAACTGCCTTCCAGAGTGGTTGTACCATTTTTCAATCTGACCAACATGTATAAAAGTTCCTATCTCGCCATATCTTCTCCAACATTTATTACCTACTATGCTGTTAAACTTTGCCACTGCTACTGGAGTGAGATGGTATCTCGTGGTTTTGATTTGCATCACTCTTATCACCAGTGATTTTGAGCAATTTCTTCATCTGTCTGTTAGCCATTTGAATATCTTCCTCTCTGAGAATTTTTTCCATGTCTTTTGCCCATTTTGTAATCGTGTTATCAGTCTTTTTCTTGTGGAAGCCCTGTAGGATTCTGTCAACTTTTGATATGAGACCCTTGTCTCATGAGATGGTTTGCCAAATGTTTTTTCCCAGCCAGTAGGTTTTCTTCTTACTTTGTTGGAAAAGTTTTTCAAGTACACAGGGATTTAATCTTTGGAAAGTCCCATTCATCAATGCATAAATGTTTTTTCACAGTGTTTCCTCACATTTCATTCTCACACGGATCTGTGTGGGTGAGGGTATTCCTCAACAAACCAAAATGACACATAAGTACACACTCATCTCGTACCTCACACTTCATGTAGCCAGGTCTTAGGTTGTGGGTTGCTGTGACATTTTGATGGACTCCGGGGCTCTAGGTTTCTCTCAGGAGTCTGATCTGTATTTATGTTGAAAATCAATATGGAGGGTGATGCTTATTTCCATCACACGTGTGTATCTGTGTACTGTTCTCACACAATTTGGTGGGTGGAGGAAAGGGAAAGTAAAGGAAATGGGAAAGATCCAGCAAAGATCTGGAAAGACAGGGTAATGGTGGGCACAGTCCAATGGTGATTGATTTTATAAAACATACTGAATAAGAATGACTGCATGAAACACAAGTGAATGAAGGATAGTGTGAAACATAATGTATACAAACTTTGTATGCAAACCAATGTAAAATGTTTTTAAAAGTCACACAAACAGAACTATATATTCATATATAGATATAGATATAGATGATAGAGACAGAGATAAAGATATAGATACAGATAGACATATACACACAGACAGACAGGCAAACATCAGTTAAAGACCCACACAAAATCATTTAAAAACAAGAAAAGTCGATAGTCACGTCTTTATATCTGTGGAATGTATGGTAAATAAAATAAACACTGAAAAGCAGGGGGTGGGAGGAGGAAGGTTATTGGCTGTCAAAAGCTAGCCCACATGTTAACAATAACAACCTCATCAGAAGAAGATGCCGAGTGATGCTGAGTGCTGCCCGAACAGTAGCAAGGAAAGTGACTCCCACACTGGCCTTGTTGCTGGTCTACTAACTAGGGCACAGGGCCCTCTCCACCTGCCCCTGGGATGGCCACACTCTTCCTTTACTTTTGCCACCTTTACTTTTAAATCTCCCCTAGGATTCTCTTTCTAGCACTTAACTCCCTTCCAGTCTCCTACAAGCCAGTCATACCTTAGAAATGGCTAGGACCTGAGGGGAAAGCCTAAGGTACAGGTAGCCGACCTCACAATCACCTCAAAGATCCCAGACCTCTCTACAGTCCAGGCGCGTGTGGTTTGGGGCACGCTACTCCTGTAACAGGCACTCTGTCCACTCAGAACAACTGAGCTAAAGCACCAGAAGGAGTGGAAAGAAAGGCCACATGCAGACATTGGGACAGTCAGATCACCTACCTTCATAAAACACATCGCCACCAAGTCATGTCCGACTCACAGCGACCATGCAGGGCAGAATATGACTGGTCCCCTGGACTTCCAGCTTCTCAGAGGGAGAAAGATGGGCAATCTCCTCCCACGAATTAACAGCTATGAAAACCCACTGGATGGTCAGCTATGGATCGGTTCCTACTCATCAGTATACAACATGGGACTTCCCAGACTGCCAATTTCTACAGGAGCATCCGGCCTTATCTTTCTCCCTTGATGTGCTGGTGGGTTTGAACCACCAACTTTTCCGTTAGCAGCCGAGCACTCAACCCAGTACACCACATTCCTGTGCCTTTACAAAAGCACAACCAAACCTCTGGGGGTACCTAAGGATGAAGGAAAGGATCCCAAGTACTCTGCCGCCTGCAAAGTTTATCTGGTCCATTTAATGCTAAGACTAAGCTCTTCCAATTCTCACATTTCTTATGTGCTACGGAGCAGCTCTGCTCCCCACTCGAAGTTACTGTGAGCCAGAAGGAACTCACTGACAACTGACAATAACAACAAACACACACAAAAGCACTCAGTGGGCCCCCCTGGCCACAATGGGTGCTCACATAACCCTGGTGAATTCAAAATTGCATACACATTGTTCTCACAAAAGGCCATCAAGAATCTGGTCACCTTTCTCCTCATGCCGGAACTTTATAGGGCACTCAGGCTTTCGTGCCCTTGGGTACTGGTCACCCCTCCGGTTAGGAGAGATGGTGGGAGCAGGCAGTATTGTGCTGGGTTCCAAATCAGCCACGTGGCTCTGCTGCACGTTGTGAGAGTCCACCCGGGAGTGGGGACAGAGGGTCCTCACACCAAGGTCTGGCCACAGCACGGAGCGAGCGAGGAATAGTTTACCTGACAGAGTCAGAATTAAGGGACAGGCACTTGGATGTAGTGACCACCACAGAGAGACACGCGGCTTGGCTCTTACATTGCTGATGTACTCGAGTGGCGTGAGGCTGAAGGTGGGCAGGTCGTCCGCAAGCGTTTCTCCGATGCCGGCTGTGCTCCAGCTCTAAGGAGGGGGAGACAGGAAGTCAGTGGCAGCACAGTTACCACTGGGCAGTGTGGACGGTTCCCCCCACCACGCCACCCATCATGCCATGTGCCGAGGCGAGACGCAGGGGCAATGCCTTGCCCACGAGCCATCGCCTGCATGCAGAGCTGGCCTTCGCACCACCCCACCCTACACAGCACCCCACCCCCACACCATAGATTTCTCTTTTTAAAATCATAAACTTGAAGCTGGCTGCAAAGATTCACCCTTCCTCTCTCTTCCTTCCTGCTGGTTTCATAAAGCAAGCATGGGGCCTCAGGCCTCCCTCAGAACATGAAGTGATGAAGTAGGGGGCCAATGGTCTAGGGGTCTCCACGGGGGCTCAGAGAACAAGGCATTACGTCACCGGGTGCAGGCAGCCTCCCTCACCCCAAGGCCCCTCACAGGCCTTCACAGAGAGCATGTGGAAATCCCATGATCTTGCAGGGTAAGAAGCTCTCGAAGCTTCTTTTCATTCCAGGAATGTCCAATCCACTTTCACTTCTACTGTTTTGCCCAAGATACAGCTGCTGCTTATACTTTTTACTGCGTCTACTTCTTTTTTTTTTTTAAATTTAGGTTGTTTATTTTTCATTTCAATGAACATCTACAGAGATTTTGGGATTCCATTCAGTCATTGCTGCACCCTTCTCCCCGCACAAACCCCTCCCCCCTCCCCCCCTGCGTCTACTTCTGATTCTCAACTTCTCTGGAATGAGGAAGGTAAGGAGTGAAAGGGGGAGTCCTCCATGAGCCCTCCAACCCCAGACAGAGGGGTTCCCTGCATGAGCATCACTTGGATACAAGGTGGGAACCCAATGGCATTCTGCACGAAGCTCGGCAAGTTACCAACACACATGTGCCTTTACCTACAAATCCTGTTTCTTAATTCCAGCCTGAGTCACCCCGAAATCAGCCTGGAGACAAGGCCCTTCCCGGCCGAGCTCCTGCGGTGGCTCTGAGGTCATGCTAGAGCTGCTCCCCGGAGCCACCTGAGGCCGATTCGGTCACTTGATCCTTAAAGCAGCATTCCAGGGATGCAATGAGGGCACCAGGCCCTGGGCTTCCCGGACCAGCCAGGCCCCAGCAGTCCTCCCAGCGCTAACTCGGCTCCATCGGGTTCTCTCTGTTCTAGTGGATTGTTCCCTTCCTCACCCCGGCCCCTATCATTTTCCAGACTCCCTGTTCTTGCCTGAGAACTCTCCTGCCTCACAATAGCCACCTTTTCTCCCTGTTTAATCTACTGATAATTAACGCTCCAACTGTCCATGCATGGTACCTCGTATTAGACATTGTAGACAGGACCCAAAAACAGGAAGGACAGTCTTCATCCTCCAGGAGCCTCACTTGGGAAACAAAGGCACCCCTCACATCCCCACTTTTTTCTCTTTCCTGCCATGCAGGCCAACACATGGGCCCACTTCAAATGCAAGCGTTCCAGTGTCAAATGCAAGGTCTATACAAGAGTTCAGGGAGTAGAGGCTCAAGAAATTATGGGAGGGGACAGCCACAGCAAACACCAGAGTTTTACCTTCAACAAATAAACAAGGAGAAGGGGGAAGATGGAACAGAAACCCAAGGTTCAAAAGAGTCGTGAAAAGGCCCATCAGCAACCCACAATCTGCAGGTCTGAAGTGGACTTAATCCAAACAGTTATATTACAAGACTGAGAAGACAGCTGGAAATGTGAACACTACATCTGTCAGCAGGCTAAGATAGGTAAACTCAATAATCTGAAATTGAATACAGCATTGGTTTAGAGTCTTGTCATGCAGGGCGATAGAGTTTACCAGCAAACTGTTTACCAGCAAACACTTAGTGACCTGGGTTTCGGTTCCAAATCCCTTTGTGCTGTGAGCCTTTGTGCTGGCACTCTCAGGGAACTTCTCCTAATCTCCAGAGCCCTTGTGTCCCTGGCGGGAAGGCCAGAATGAGGGTGCGATCAAGAGGCCGGCTGGGAACCCCAATCATGAACTCTGGAATGCAGAAGTGGACGCGGGAGGGCAGGTGCTGGGCGTGAGGGAGGAGTAAGTGCAGAGCAGGGACCAAACAAGTGGGAGGGTTAAGGTCCAGGAGAGGAAGGTCATTATTATAAGCTTTAACAAAATGAAAATAACAAAAACAACCCACTCGGGAGGTGGGAGGAGGGCGATGGGAGAAGTCAGGAATGCTGATCCCTGCACCTCTCAGAACAGGTCAGCCGATACCAACATCTCTCAGATGGGAGCGTGACTGACAGCCCGCTGGCCCCTCACTGAATAATCAACTAATAAACCCCTTAATATTTCTTCTGAACCTTGGGACTTGAGCCAATGGTCTCTTACGTATTTATCTTACTCGGTGAAGTTACTACTGTCTCAAGCTCAGCAACTCCTCTGGTTTCACTTTGTTTCTAGTTAAATGCAAATAAAATGAGATCGCATCCATTTTGTTTTCAACTGTAGTCATCTATGCCCATCCAACCTCTGCCTCATGTGTGAGAGGACACGGAGAGGTGTCCCGAGTCGAGGACATGGAGAGGTGTCCCGAGTCAGGGACACCAAATGTCCACACTACTTATTTCTTAGATTGCGAGGATTCCCATCCCACCCCACCCCACCCCCTGGGGGATTTATTGTTTCTTTCATTGCTTGCATTTCTGAAAATGAGTACACACATTTTTTTTGTAAGTTGAAGTCATTCCTCTTCCAGAGAACCCCAGGAAACTGCCATGACGTCAGCACTCTGGTGTGGCTAGGCTAACACTTTCATACGCCACATCTCATTTAATCCTCATAATCTGCACGGTGAGAAGGACTGCAGGCCTCTAATCTGCAGGCCCCTTTTCAAGATGAGGCAATGGAGGCTCAGAGGCTCAGAGCTTAGTCATGGGGTCCAGTGAGGTGACAGAGGTACCAGAGCGCAGCCTGGTGGACCGCACAGAACTGCTGACCACTAGCCTCACTTCTGCTCCGCCACCCAGCAACAACGGCTTCTCCAGCCTTAACTTCCTTGAGGCTGGAAACAAAAACCTTGGTTGGAGCATAGAAAATCTACTACAAGTACTGACTGTCACAGAATCTCAGAGCTAGAAGGTACCTCACACATCATGTGTGGAGCTACCATTTCATAGGTGGGGATTCTAAGTCCAAGAAGATTCAGGGCTTGACCAAAGTCCTACAGGAAGTAAGCGAGGGGCCCCTGACTCTCAGCCAGTGTGCTTTCCAGAAGGCAGAGGAGACAGAGAACTGGAAATTATGCTGTACATGTTCTTATCTGCCTTTGCCCAATACTTGCAAAGAGCTCCTGGTTATTCAGGACCTAGAACTTTTCAAAAAGATGGGCTTTTAAAATATATATATATATAAAGTCAAATCAATGGCAAGCTCTGGTGGCCTAGTGGCAAAAAGCTACACTGTAATTCCAGAGGTGAGCAGTTTGAATCCACCAGATGCTCTGCTGGAGAAGGAGGGACAATTTTTTCCTATACCAGCCAGATCTAATTTGACGCTACACAGTAAAATAATAATAATAATTTTTTAAAAAGTCAAAGATGGATTTGAAGGGCAGAGAGAGGACTCAATGAGAAAGGCTTACTCAGGTGATCAAGGGCAGAGGAACGAGATGTGCTTGAGAGGATGACTGAGTAAGTAGAGATAACATGACCGAGGCAATCAAATCAAACAGCAAAGAGAAGGGGAGAGGGTGTGGGGAGAGCAAGGTGAGGCCACTCTGAACGATCCAAACCAAACAAGGTGTCCAGGAAAGACAGTATCAGAACTCGTCAAGGTCACCTCCCAAACACAAGATCAACCCCGTGATGGCACTCCCCTGGCTAATGCTTCAGAACCAACACGCGGAAACGCTGTGGCACGCAAACAATGCTATTCACAGGACCACTAGCTCCTCAGACCTGGCCCTACCAACCCTGCAGCACCTCCCCTCCGTTCCCTCTCCAGGGAACTGTGACCAAGCAGAAGAAAGCTAATCAAGCAGCATTAACAATCTCAAAAGATACTCTGTATTGAGAAGGTATCAGGGTAACGACAAGTAAGACTGGAAGTTCATGATAAGGAAAAAAGCTGCAAGGGATAAGTGACTCTCTGAAGTGGTGCGTCTAGCCGGGGG